TGGGTCGTCCAGGGACGTTGTCTGTTGAAGACTTTGGAGACCGCTTAACGGCAAACTATGCCAGAGCTAGATCGAAGGATGCAAGGTTAACCAATGCGAGGTTCCTTGAGCAGTTGCCTGGATTTCTCGAGCTGGAGGCTCTGAGACTTTGGCGTAAAAATAAGGATCATGTATTGACCGCGCCTGCCGATGCAGCTGAGCTTGCCCAGTGGGACCCGCTTGAAGAAGTAGTGAGGCATTTTAAGACGGAGTTCAGAGGTGCTAGCGCAGAGCAGGTTCGCGAGTTGACAAGTTTGAAGAAGAAGCCTAATGAGACGTGCAAGATGTTGCGTTCTCGCTTGGAGTATCTTGCAGATGAGACAGGACTTCTGAATAGCCAGGAGATGGCTGTTAAGTTTGTTGAAGCCTTGCCGGAAAAGTTGCGTGTGCGCGTGGAACCCATTGTTTACAGTATGGGAGCTAATGGAGTTTATACGCTCGACCAAGCTTTTGAAGTGGCAGACCGTCAGGATCTTGCAACGGCGTATGCAGACGGCCGCAAGGGTAAGACCAAGGAGGAAAACGACTCATATGGAGTAAGTGAGATTGATGCAAACTTGGCATTTCAGGATGGTAGAATCTGTTACCGTTGTGGACGAGAGGGTCACGTGCTGTCTGAATGTCAGGTTAACGCGGACGTACAGTGTAGCGTGTGTCAGAAGAAAGGTCACATGGCTGCAGCTTGTTGGACCAAGCATGGCAAACCGGGAGTGGTTGCCAACCAACGGGCATATCCGCAAGAAAGCATAAAGGAGATTGCGCTGGAGGTGAAGGAGTTAAAGGGCCAGGTTCAGAAGTTACTCGAGCATTTTGCAGCGGTGGTAAATGCAAAGTCAGGCACTGATCAAGGTATGGATTAGTATTAGGCCGGTTGGGACGACCTTGCCGAAGTGGGGCGGGTATCATGCACATCATGATATATGCGCTGCCATGAAGCTTGACATGTATGAGAGTTTACTTGTGCCGAAGTGGCGGTAAATTTTAAACTTTTGATTGGCCGCAATCGATTGTTGGCAATAGAAGTATTATCATCTATGCTCGTGCGATGTTCTATTATAGCGAGGTTGTGCTATCCGACACACATGTGAGGGCAAGGGATTTTTAGACTCTATTTCTTTGGGACTGGCAGGACTTGAGCCTCGTGAGGAATATGCATTAGATATTTGATGACGTTTTTCATATTCGTTCCATAATTCTTTTTTGAACTTGGGGTCTGTAATGCCCCTGGATGTCCGTCGGTTATGTTGTGCCGCGGAACTCCGTGTAGTTTGGTTTCTAGACTTATTAGCCAATTCCGGATGCATTGCGATGCATTGTGATGAATCATGCGTTTATGATGGGTGCACCATGGTTTTCCAGATATGCGTTGATTGATCGGACCATTGGTCATGGGCCGATTCGGACTCGGACATTGGGCCGCGGCGCTTGATGACCCGGTTGTCCGCATCGAAAGCATGGTCCTGGCTGAAATGAAGCTGGGATGTTCTGATCGGCTGTTTTAGCACTTGTCTTATTAGTACTTCTACAATTGGGGGCCATATGCCCCAGTCGTCCACAATTAGTACACTTAGGTTTCTTAATATTATACCTAGGTTCACTTTTGGAATGGCTAGGACTAGCGGAGCTATGTGAAGTGATTGATTTAGGATTCAATAGTTTCTCCTGATTAATAATCTTTTCTAGCTTTTCGGCTTCCGATCTTATCAATTCTACTGTCCAAGTACTAATATCTTCATACCGAAACTGTAATTTAGTTCTAACCTTAGACTGTATATTCCACGGCAAGGCATTGAGCAGCTTCTCAGCTGCCTGTGCTTGCGGTTGTTTTAGGTCTAACGCTAATTTAGACATCCTCTGACTAGCGGTTGTAATGGACTCATTTTCTTCAACCTTGAACTCTCCATAGGCTTGGATCTTGGCGGCGGAATCCTTGGGGTAGGCCTGCAATAGACGAGTCCAAAGTTCAGTGACCGGATTTCCAAGAAAGTCAGTAATCATTGGAGGTTCATGTGGTAGCGTGGATCTAGCATTTGAACCGCGTTGTTCGGCTGTCTGGGCATCCCAGGCAGCGATGGCTTGTTCAGCGATGGTCTTATCCCTAACGTAATTGGATTGCAGTGATTCATTATGTCTGGCTAACTCCTCTTTTTTTTCTGTTAAAAGTGTTAGGCAGGTGTCGTGAGCTGCGCCACCGGTTTTGAACATGACAACATGGAACTTGTCCGTGGATGTTAGTGTGTCAAAACCTGCTTGCAACTTGTGTGTGGCTTCCCACGCTGCATATGCTGAACGCAGATTGTCCAGAGTGACAGATGATTTTGTCTCTTCGGTGAACTTCTGACTAAACAAATCCAAGTCCTCCAGTGCCATTGTGACGGAGGCCACTGACTGAGAGTCTGCGGAATCCAAAAATTCAGAAGTGTCGGTGTTTTGAGTGGCAGCAAAAAGCTCACCTTCTACAACGCGATGTTGTTGGTTGGACCACTGGACAAAAGGTTGTCGCGGCCCTTCGTTCCCGTATAAAGAACGTTGGGCGTAAGGGTTCTGAAGATTTCTGCGAAGATGGTATCCGCCTTCAGTTCCTGGACCGGACATATGTACTGCAAGCTACCTGGTTGTCCAAATTCACGTCCAGATTGGACTAGTGGCAGTTATTCTGCCTGAGTTGGATGTCCAACTCGTAACTTTACTGCTGATCCTACTGCAGAATCTTAGTGATCCTGCCAATAGGCACTACTTTTCAATGTTGTGTTTCCTTTGACCTTTCAATGTGAAACCGGAAGGGATGATACGGATCATTAATGTTGTCACCTGTAGCTATTGGAAACTACTGTATAACTACGTGGGTCTTATCTACTCTGTATAACTACGTGGGTCTTATCTACTCCGAACGCAGAGGGTGGGTACTTTCCCCCTGGGCTTGCCAGTTGCGGATGTCCGTAAGAGATTCCCTCGTCTGAACAACCGCCTAGTATGCTAACTGGACTCTATCACTAGCTGTTACACACATGCTTCGACAATTTCAAAGCGCTTCAATGTCCAGTCAATCATGACAGTGGGTTAGAATACTGTCCGGGCAAACAAGAATCCTTATCAAGTGGGGTGATTTCCACGGCGATAAGAGAGCGGCACTTGGCTGTGCATCCAATGCCTCTGGTCCAAGTATGTTCCTGCGCAGTCAATAACATGGCAGCCAGATACAATAATAGAAATACTCTCAGTCCAACTGATTGTAGCTTCGGGTAATTTGGGTTTAATCCCACCGGTCAAACAACAATCATCAATAACTGGCACAACAGAAAGGCAACACCTTTCTGGATTTCCGTATTACCTTGTCCCTAGTTCAGGGGCTCGTAGTAGTTGTTGGACTTCCAGGTCAGCTTCCGGAACGGCTGTTGCTGGTACTGCTGAGGGTACGGCTGACGGTACTGCGGGTACTTGGGAAAAAGCTGGGGCGGACGGTAGGGAGCCGGCTGGTAGGGGCCCTTGTACGTCGTCTTGTCCGGCCTTATGAAAATGGGTTGGGTCTGGTACACCGGACCCTGATGCAGCCTTGCCGCGGGGGCAAAGTGCACGGCGCCAATTGTCTCCAAAGCCTGGGGGCCTGGGAGTGTCGGCACGGTGCTGCTTACGCCAGGTGGGGTTGTGGACTACTGGGGGAGGCGCATGCTTAGGCACCCGGGTAGTGGGCAGGCGGCGTGACGTGTTGGGCGGGCAAGCGAGGTGCTTGTTCCGCTGTTGACGCCACTTGGGGGGAAGGATCTCAGGGATTTCCCTGATAGCCTCGTACACCCCACGCTGCCAGTGGTGGTGACGTAGCGGTGTTGGAGCTTGGCCTTCCGGGCTGCGAAGCGGTGACGCTCAACAACTTTGGTGCCGTCCAGGGCTACGTGTCCCGCAAACAGGGTATCCGCTCGGGTGACTGCATGTTGCAGCCGCGTCTGGTCGATGTTGTTGGCTTGGGCCTCTCGAGCGGCGCTGTCCCGGAGTCGGCTTGCGCTGGCCCTGTTGGGTGTTAGCGCTGATATTGACCTTCAGGCTGCTGCGGAAGGCTCTGGACGGCCGTCCAGGGCACTGATCTGAAGAGTGAGGGGATGAGTCTGGCCCGCAGTGGTTACACTGGAGCTGGCTGGGATGTTGGGGAGAAGGTGGGGGAGTGTTGGATAGGCTGGGGACTGAGCTCCGGCGGCTCTTGGCTGCGGGGCTAAGTGGGGCGTTGACACGTTCCAAGAGTCCAGGGACACCTTTTGCGGTCTCTTCCCAATTAAAATTATGTACGTGGAAGAATGCTGTTAGTAGCTGCGCGCTGCTGCGGACGGTCCGATGCACACTGGCAGGGGACATTCACCAAGTAAAATCCTGAGATATCCAAGAATAAAAGGGCGGAGCGGGCACAAGAAACCCCGTTCGCTGTGAAATGGCGCCGTATGACTCCGGCCACCACTGGCTTCCAGAGATCCTTCTGGACAGTCAACTGACTAGTTTTGACGCGGGGTCCCCCAGGATTATCCGAAAAGGTTGTCCTGAGAGGCTGAGTTAACAGGATGAAACTGAACATGTCGTCCCAATCCTGAGCTGGGGTGTTGCACAATGGACACAGAACAGTCCCCCATAGCTCAAAAATTGGACCGGTGTAATGTCCGAGATCCGAATACAGTTGTTCAATCCCACAAAGATCTGAGTCTCACGTCCGATATTGAAATGGCTGTCCGCTGAAGTTTCCTACCAATCCTGTTTCTTGATATACGTCTGGAAGTTGTTGGTCAATTCTCTCCTGGATTGCTACTGAAATTTCCAAATTATCCAATTCCCAAGCAATACTGTCAACTCCAGGCTCGCCTGGTGCTGCTAGCGCTGATCCAATCAATGCAAGTTCCCTTTCCTTCCGAACCAACTGAACTGAAAGCTGAAATGCAGAAATCCTCTCGACTCCATCTAATGTTGACCCAAGCAAGCTGCTTCCTACCACGGACTTCCGTTCAAAGCTCATTCAAGCGGCATTGTTCACCCAAGACTTTCATTCAAATAGGGTAGCTGGCATGTCCAGCTTGTGAAAAGCAAGGATGAAGTTGTAATGCAATTGAACAAGTTAAGATTGGAAGTAGCGTGCTAACATTCAAGGCAACCCTCGCAACACCCGCACCGGCTAACCTTGAGACTCACAACCAAATTGCAGTGGCTCGTAGGAAGTCCGTTGGATGT